CCTAGTACCTTATGTGGGACATATGCACCTGCAGTGGTTTAGCGATTCGATTCAAGATGGCGGACTGGCAGCCATCTTGTTTTTTGAAAATGTTGTATTTTGGACATGCCTTGTCAGTTGTCATTCAAACTTGGTACATAGATTATACATGTTAGGATACATGTCCATGACGATTTATTTCGCAATTGGATCAAAGATGGTCGACTGGCAGGCATCTTGTTTTGTTTTTTTATGCGGTATCTTGGGCGTGCTCCGTCAGTTTTCAGTGAAATTTGGCACATACATGTACTTTATACATGTTAGGATGCATGTCCATGACGATTTGTTTCAAAATCTGGTCAAGGATGGCCGATTGACAGCCATCTGATGTTTTGGCCTTACTACTATATTTCCACAATTTATGTACCATTTTCATTCGTATTTGGCACATACATCATACATATCAGTGTGTTTCATAATCAGATCAAAGATGGCCGAATAACGACTGTTTTTATTTTTGGCCATATTACTACTACACGGAATACGTGTTTTGATGTAAATAAACAATCTGTTGTTTACGCCACTTGGAACTCAAGTTTCAAGGACACGCTCGCGACAACCCTTCCGCTTTAATATGACGAGCACAAAGAGAACTTTCAAAAATTTAACGGGGACTGTGTCATTTTCAATGACTTGTTTTTTATGATTCCTTTAATAAGATGTCTTCAACAAATGATAAGCATCTGAATATACCAACAGTCATTGTTCTGTAAAATACTCTGATATAAAAACTAGCTATTTTAGTGAATTTGACTTGGAGCATTATTTAACAGAATCTCAGTTTTAATACCTAATTGTGAAAACTGGCTTTGTTTTAAATTAGCTAGATGACTGAATTAGAAAAATTAAATTAATCAGCAAAAATAACATGCTAGCTAATATTACAGTAATTATTGCTTTTACTGACAGAAAAAGAAGCATTGAGAAAAGAACTGGAAGACGAGATGAAAGCACAAATGGAAGAAAATCAGAGAGAAGTAGAATTGATGAAACAATCATGGCAAGAAAAACTCAGAGAGGCTCAGGTAATAACACAGGCGTACTGGTAAATGCACTTTTTGAAAACGGTGCTTCATATTAAAAAGCAAGTTGATTCTTCAGATTGGTATGGTTCATTATGGGACCTTTTTAAGCTGCACTGGAAAATACATTTTTTATCTTGCATATTCTATTACACTAAGCTGATTGGAAGAGATCCAGTCACATGGAATATACTCCTCAGTTTATGCAAATCAAGCCAATATCCCACTCTAATGTCTGCATGTAGGACAAACCATACATGTACACAATTCTGGCAGCCGAATGTGGATCAAATTTACATATAAAAATGCAAAATGTTAAAATGCTATGAATAGGTTCGGCAAAGCTGATTACTGTGACAATCAAAACAATATCGTCAATAAAGTTGCTGGAAACCAAAATGATATTTCACTGACAAAATCACATCTACCGGTACCTTACTCTAATCGTTTGTATAACACAACACAAATAAAACATGCAATTTTAATACGCAAAAAGTTGTCACAGTGAGGAGACAAATCTTCATATACCCCCTCTGTTGCAGTTAACAATTGTATAATGTTTAATTGTCGCACAGAATGCAACACAGAGTGATCATGCACAACTAATAGCATCAATTACTTGGAAAAAGTGACTGTGTTATTTTCAGTTATTGACTTATTTATGAACAATTATTGTTATTTAGGCTGCTGCAGCACAGAATGATCAAGAAGTAGCCACCAAAAAAGACGAAGTAAAAACCACACCACATTTGTATAACTTAAATGTTGACTCACAGCTGTCTGGTATGATTGTACATTTATTGAAAGGCACTGCATTTAAAGTTGGTAACACTAAAGCTGATCCCAAACCTGATATAGTCCTCAGTGGACTCAGGTGAGTAAATTATTTCACAGTTATATGCATTTGTGGGATTCATTTCATTCTTTTTTTATTCATTTAAATTCACTACGTTCAATTACCCACCATAGACTCCGGTCAGTCAAAATGACTTTAGCTTAGTCCTCGATGTGGAGAAAAATAGAACTAGAGTAACAAGTGGGCCAATATGGCTGCGCCTCATGGCGTCGGCCACGTGGTTCATGATGTGAGGGAATATATTGAGATCATAGGGCTTCGCCTAATGTAGATTTATTTCTCAGTCATTGGCTGAATCGTAGATTAATGCCTACAGTTCAAAATAGTCATTTTGACTGACCAAAGTGTATGGTGGGTATGAACTATGTGAATAGGCGGGTTGAAAACCCTCTGCCTAAATTTAGTTAAGTCTATTTTGTGATCAGTTTATTTATCATTAGTCTGTATCAGTGTGCTCTTTAAGTCGATAGACACAGAGATTTGTTGTGATGTAACTATTTATACAACTACCACCACCCTTTAAGGGATCTAATTAAATGGTTGTCATCTTTTTTTTTTTAATAATGTCTTGTTGTTTTTAAGGTGTTTTTTGACTGATTGATGTTTTGAAGTTATGAATTGTTAAAAACATTTTTTGTGATTGTTTTCAGTATTCAAAAGGAGCATGCATTGATCACATCTCAGGGTGACAATTTTTTCATTGAGAGAGCCGCTAGTGATGCTAAATTATTAGTCAATGGTGAACCAGTCACTGCCAAGGAAGAACTAGAACATCATGACAGGTACATACTTTGATGACTAATATGATGCTATCATGAGATACTGCTAAAAATACATGAAGGCAGTACAGTAATCATACCGACAGATGTGCAGTGAAGGTCAATGTGATCCCCTATTGCCTGGATTCATACTTTGCAGCATTCTCATGAAAACCATATTATTAAGTTTACATCTTTTTCTGCTCATAATTTAGTGAGATATAACAATGAAAATGCCAGTGAAATATATTTGTGTCTGTTGTATCGTTTACATTCATTTCAATCATACACTGCTTTGTTGCTAAGTTTTATGTAGACAAAGCAAAGTATATTCCAAGTAAGAAAGATTTTCAAAGTGTCCCTATTGTGTTTTTACGAATGAATAAATTGTATTGAGATTATCACAGTAACCCTGAAAAGTATGTGCACACTTTTGTTGAATTTCATCAGTAACTGAGACCTTCAAAGCATGGCAGTTAGATTAATATTCAGTTACTGAATTAAAAAGACAACTGGAAACAGTAGACTGATTAGTTTTAAACACAAGAATAATGGTATTCCATGATTCCCTTGGGCAATCCAAGGGATTGAGGCATCAGAGTTTAACACTAATAATGCCTTTATATTGAATTTAGGGTGATGTTTGGTACCAGTCATCTGTATGTGTTTATGCATCCCAAGCAACAGAAAGCCAACCCAAATAAATACCCTAAAGTGGTTACATATGAGATGGCACAGGAAGAAATAGCACAGAACAGTGGTTTTGATATGAGTACGGATAAAAAATCAGATGGTTAGTACATTTATTTTCATTGAAATTTACTTTTGATTTTCAGCATATTCACTGGGTTTGAAATTTATTTATTTGCCATTGATGCATTTGGTTTTGTCGTCATTTTATAATTTCGCAGATTTCACTCATCAACAAAATAAGTGAAATAAAACCCAGTAAATAATGACAGCAAGTCTTTAAACTATTGGGGCTGCAAATTAGGAAATTTGCTCACAAATTCGCCATCAACTGGTTTTGACAAAGCAAATAATCTACAATTTGACTATTGCCCTTCATTTTGTCTTTGTCAATTACTAGTAATCTCTCTAAGAAATTATGTTTTGAACAAGTTTATGATGTTTTATCCGAGGAGAGTATTGAATTGTTAGTATTGGTAAAATTCTGCTTCATAAAAACTCAGTGAATTAGTAAGCAAATTTGCTAACTTGTATTCCACTAATTGACATCTTCATGTTGAAATCTCTGCTTATCCTGTATTCCATATTTTTATTTCTATAGAGGATTTGTTACTCCAAGAAGACCTTGTTGACATGTTACCAGCTGTGGAAGAGGCCAATGCTATTAGTGAAGAATTGGATAGAAAAGTCAAATTTGAAATAGTTGTTATTTCAGCCAAAGCACGTGGCTTGACCAGTGGAAGAACTGAGGTAAATGTATTACAGCTTGGCAATCCTGATGACTTGATTGGGAACTTTCATCTTATTATTACAGCAAGTCTCAGAAGTATTGGGGCAGCCAATTTGCAAACTCGCTAGCGAATTGGCTAATTGCTTGGGTTTTGACTAAATGATTGGCTTTTGAATCTCACTGGCGCCGGTTTGTGATCGCGTCCACTCTTGGCGAGTCTATATTGCATTAGGGGACATGCAATGTTTTTACGCATCCTCAGGCTGGTACATGTCTGGATTCCCCTGAATGATTTGAGCCCGAAAATGACCACAGTCAGCTGGCATGATAATATTATAAATGTGATTAATCTACCGATATTTATTATATGAGGTTAACTTTCTTGAACACTGCTTGACACTAAATAGACAAGTTGAGAAACAGTTTCCTACAAATCAGGGAGAAAATAACAAACTTTCACACTCAAACGATCCGTTGGGGTAACATTAAGCCAACCACTGAAAAAATCGACCTCATTCATCGTTTTTGTGTGGACACGGAAGAGCATAGAACACTTTCCTCGGTATATTTGAAAGCGAAATCGCCATCCAACTGTAAGACCGTTGCCGAATAGCTCCTAAAGTATGAGGATCGTCCCCTACTGTTATATAGATTCGCCTTAAGTGGGCGTGACCACAAGACGGCGTCAGCGAGATTCGAAAGCCAACCGTTTAGTCAAAACCCAAGCAGTTAGCCAATTCGCTAGCGAGTTTGCAAATTGGCTGCCCCAATACTTCTGAGACTTGCTGTAAAAATGCTGTGACAAGATAATTATAGTAACAGTGTTTATTTTGTGTGACCTCTAGGTTTGTGTTAAGATGCGTAATTTGGATAACGGTTTGGAGTATATTTGGCCACGAGATAAGTTTTTCAGAAGGAAGTATATGATGCAAGAAATGTACCAGAATTACCAGGAAGGCGAAGAATGGCAATTACCAGATGTAAGTATCAACTGATCTGTCTATTGTAAGTAATGTAGTGATTGTTTGATCAGAGTCATGATCACTGTGCTGTCTAAGTAGATATGACGCATCATGAAGCACAATATATTTGGGATATTATTCTCTGGCGTGCAAATAACACAACAGAAAATAAAAAGTGATTTGGTAGACTTTAAAAACATCTCACTTTAGTTACAGAATATGTAATTTGGTAGTCAGGTTTTAAAACTGAAGAAAATCAGGGGTCACAACATTTTTTTGACTCAAGATCGCTAGATTACGCACTGCTCATGATTACTGCTCATAATTACCAGGAGTTGTTGAAATCTTATTTGGGGTTGATCACCAACAAGGCCCCTATCCTGTGTAAGTGTACCAAAGACTCAATGAGGAGACCAAAGCTACTGATACCAAAATTCATGAACTACATGTATTACTAACAGATACAATTTTAGAGTAACCTTGATAAAAATGGCCATACACAGTCTAATGTAGTCTCTAACATGAAATAGGGTTTCTGTTGCTAAATGCAATATATGTACTGTTAAAACAAGCCAACGGCTGAGACAAACACTGAGATGCGACTGTAGGATAAACTTAGTTAAAGGGGAACCCAAAGAATCATGGGACACTATTGTTTATGTTGTTTAAAAAGTTAATCTATCTTTTGTTATCCATTGTAATTTCAATCTAGAAAGTAAATTTGTTGTGAGATTAGGCTTAACTGGAAGTGCCCCTTTAAGGTGCACAGATTGAGGTTCACTGAAGGAAAATAAATTGCCATGATACCATTATTGTATGATAGGAATCTAATTATACAGTCATGTAGTCACAAACATGGAAAACAGTTACTGTAGCAAAATACACTGTCTGTTGTCAGCACTTGTAATTTACACTTAAAACAAATTACGAGAAGCAACAGTACCCTCAGTGTTGGGAATTATCATCTGTCACAAAATTATTATTTAAAAAAATGCAAATGCTAAATGCAAATGATTGTCTAGAACTTCAGATGCCCAGTGTGTATGGTCAGTTTTAGCATTATTATTATTTAAAAAAATGCAAATGATTGTCTGGAACTTCAGATGCCCAGTGTGTATGGTCAGTTTTAGCATTATTATTTAAAAAAATGCAAATGATTGTCTAGAACTTCAGATGCCCAGTGTGTATGGTCAGTTTTAGCATTATTATTATTTAAAAAAATGCAAATGATTGTCTGGAACTTCAGATGCCCAGTGTGTATGGTCAGTTTTAGCATTATTATTTAAAAAAATGCAAATGATTGTCTAGAACTTCAGATGCCCAGTGTGTATGGTCAGTTTTCTGGCTACCAAGATTTATTGATCAGCACTTATTTTCATGTATTTATTGTCTCACAATTTCTCATCTATATTTTCATTTCAGGAGAAAGATCCCTTCACAGAACCACCTGATACTGAAGTTCATATTGGTAGTGTCAATGTATATTTACAGAGTATAGCATATTTGGTAAGAAACTGCCTTCTAGTTATTGTCGCGGGCAGTTATCTAACATGGAAAATTATCTCCATGTTTATCTCTGCTTAAAAATTCAGCTGACTTGTGAAATGTGGAAAATTCTTGGTATTTTGCTGAACATAAATAAAATAAAGAAAAAGCGCAAATTAAAAGAGGTACCATCATGTTTTTCCATGCAAACAACGACTTAGTGATTTCCATGTACTGTTAAGCCCTACTATCATGACCATTTTGATTGGAAAATTGGTTGAAATACATTCACCTACAGTGTTATTCATACTGCATGTCAAGTGAAATGTTCACTACGCTTGGAAAAATGGAATTACCGTACCCAACCCTATACAAAAGTAGTATAAGGAAATTTACAAGTCCAAGAGCACAAAAGAAATGACCAACAAAAACAATCTACAAGAACAAAACAACTGATAACTACACTACGTAGTCAAATCAATAGTAGAAAGATAAGACCCCATTGTATACATGAAGTGATGTCAGATGAAATAAATAAGAAAATAGAGTAGACTAGTCTAAGAGTAAAAAACAAAACAAGAATTACTATTCACTCAGTTTCTATTTCAAAAGTATTTTAGATTCATCTATTCTATGTCCAGCGAGTCAAGTTAACCTTTTCACCATCTGTTCCCTCTTTTCATCACAAATTCACAAAATTGTCCTGTTCATAGTCTGCACTTTTTAGTCCCCATTCGGACGCAGTCTGAAAACGGGGACTTATGTTTTGACCTCCGTGTGTCCGTGCGTGCGTGTGTCCATGCGTGCGTGTGTGCGTACATGCGTCCAGACTTGTATCTTAGAAATGCCTGGACCAATCACAATCAAACTTCACACATACATCATACATGATATTATACATATGCACGTCAATTTGTTTCACGATCTGATTCAAGATGGCCGAATGGCGGCCATTTTTGTGCTAAAAATCATCAAAATCAAGCATTTCCCGGCTGTTTACTGATGGATTTTGTTCAAACCTTGTATATACGTTGGACATTATAGGACCTTGATGCACATCATTTTGTTTTACGATCTGATTCAAGATGGCCGAATGGCGGCCATTTTTGTGCTAAAAAATCATAAAAATCAAGCATTTCTCGGCTGTTTACAGATGGATTTTGTTCAAACTTGGTATATACATTAGACATTTTGGAACCTTGATGCTTGTTTTTCAGATTAGATTCGAAATGGCCGACTGGCGGCCATTTTGTTTGAATGAATGTGGTTCTTGTGCCATATGTCTGACTTGTTTTGACTGATTATGTTCAAATTTTCAATATTCATTATACATCATGTCATAGATATAGGGATATATTGGTTTGACGATCCTTTTCAAAGCAAAGTGGCCAAATGCTGGCTATTTTTGTGCTAAAAAAATCATCAAATATCAAGCATTTCTGGCATTTATGGATGGATTTTGTTCAAACTTATAACATACATTAGACATTACAGGTTCCTGATGTATGTCATTTTATTTTTCAGATTAAATTCAAAATGGCTGACTGGCGGCCATTTTGTTTTAATGATTGGGCTTCTTGAACCATATCTTTTAAATGCTTTGACTGATTAAATTCAAATTTTATATATTCGTCATACATCATGTTATATATATACAGACCCGCCAGAAAGTATTTACGCACCACACTACACGCAGCTACTACCTACGATATCATACAATAAAATAAACTCAATAACGGTTTGAATAAATATATTTATATATCTAATAAAATATGCGTTTTTACACACAATAAAAACAACAAAATTGTCTTTATCATGCAGGATTGAATAAAAACGACAGTGAACAAAACAGTGAAAAAACGTTTGAATTCTCTATGGAGAATACCGTGTAAACGCAAGCTCATGAATATTCATGAAGACATAGAACGCGGCGATTGTCAATAATGCGTGTGTCCACCTCTTCGCTGGATGACTTCTCTGAGCCGTTTTGGCATGGTATCGACGAGTTTCCGACACATGTTCACCTGGAACATGTACATGTATTCAAAATGGCTGATTTTGAATGCTGTTCCAGAGCAATATCTCTCAATATGGACAAGTACTTGTTTGACGATCAGATACAAATGTCAATCATTTTAATGTTAAAAAATCATATTCCCGACATGGTTATATTCCAGCTATATTACTATAAACAAAACTATATATCTTAAATTTGATAACTAACGGGACTGTGCCATGCATGGCTTGTCTCAGAAGATTGGGACAAAAATAGCCAAATTTTTTGAGTAAAAACTGAAAATTAACTCAAATTTTGTCTGTTGGCTCCAAAATTAAGGGTTATTTCCAGAAATAATAAAGAATATAAGAAAAAAGTGCAGAAAAAGAAAGTCTGGTGGTGAAAAGGTTAATTTTTCAACAAAATTGGCACTAAATTGTTTATTATGTCATGAACAAATGTCTAGTATTTGTTATCACATTGGCAAAATTTTGGTGATGTATATTAATGCTAATGATTTATTTGTCACAGATTGATTTGAGAGAAACGCTGGAGATTACTGACTATAAAGGCAAAGAGATGGGCATTCTGGAAGTGGAAGCTATTCCTTGTAATAACAAAGGAAAGGAGTTAACAGAAGCAGATGACGTGTTTGTAGAGGATCCCAGTGAGTTGGTGGGACAGCCTATCAACTTTGTAATGAAGATACAAGCAGCTAGAGGATTGCTCAATAAATATACTGTAAGTGGAAATAATCTACAAATGCCAGCAAAATTTGAATGTGTTTGATAAGTATAATAATTTCCAGATGATGGTACATTAGATTTTGTCCAGTCAAAGTGACATCTTCTAAAAATAAAATCATATCCTACATACAGGTAATTGTAAAACTAACTCATAAACCAGTTGGAAATTTCTAATCAGATAACAAAACAAATCATCATGTGTGTTGTTCATACAAAAATCAGTTAAAGCATGTCTGAGGACCCATGACAATAAAACCAACATGGTCGCCAGTCAACCAGTTTGAATCAAATCACAAATAAACTCAAATATATATATTTACGGTACATACATTCTTGTCAATTTACATAAATAGATTTTAGCTTGCTAGTTGCCGACAATCAGCAGAAATTTTCACAGTAGAATTTGTAAATTCAGTTTTTTGAGCACTTCAATATTTTAATATGCTATTGTTAATGTTTGTATGTATCATGAGAAATGGACAGCTGATATATTTTATTATTCATTATTAGCTACTAAAAATTCTAAGAAATTGATTTAATATTGATCATCTTTCCATTATTGTTTTCAGTCTGGGAGAGATGACCTAAATCTAACCTACTTATAACCAGTAAATCAAACTAGAGCAGAATTCAGCGTTGCCAATCCATCTCTCAGCAGGACTTGTGTGCAGAAACAACTGCTCTACTAAAATGATTTAAAATACTTTATGATTAGAGATGAAAAAAGAGATTTGTATTATTATGAAAATAACATACTAGTAACTCATTAAAAATGTGACCAATCACAACATGCCACTTTCAATTATGGAGCACAGTCAAGTCATATAGCAAATGTTCTTGAGTCTATTTGTGGTAGCAAAGTGGAGAAAAACAGATATAATTACATAATTACTGAAAAAGGGAAATTTATTAAGTGCAGTTGTGCTACAAAGCAGTTAATTTTAAGTATAAATAAATCTTTCCGTTATTTTATTTTTCCTTCATATTGATTTACACTTACTTGAGGGAATCTTTTTTGCTATGATGTGAGCTGAAAATTATTATTTAACACAGTCGCATATAAAGGAGGCTCAAAATACTAACATCAAGTTGACAACTCTGATTGTTTTATCAAGCATTCAGTGGTGCTAATTCTATACGTATGGTTCTAATAATGGTTGATGTACCTCCAATATGACTAGTAGCCGAGTACAACTCTCATAGCGACTTCTTTGTGCTTTTATAATTTGTTTTATCATGTTCAATCTAAAGTAATAAAATTCCAAATGGACTGTCATTCTCTCAGAGATGGTGTGCATTATAAAATATACCGGTAGAGTTAATGCTTATGATTAAATTGAACATATTCTTGCTTCATAATAGGATATTTACTGCAAATACACTATGTATTTGGACACAGAACCACAGCGTACCCAAGTAGTTAGCGGGACATCGAACCCAGAATTCAAATACAAGAAGAACTTTTCATATAATCCGGCTACATCGCAGTTAATTGAGTATTTAAAGGACGGCGTATTGATGATACAAGTGTGGGGAAAACAGAAAGCAGGTGACAAGAAAGGCAAGAAAATGAACACCAAGGAAATGATGATGGCTCAGGCGTTGTCAAAGGGAAAGGACATCGCTGGTAATGCAGGGGAGAAAGTAAGAAACATATCAATTTAATAGTTATTGTCCAGCATTATTGTGTGTGTTGTTAGTCTGCTATGATGTCACCAGACACAATCACCAGTGTTAGTAACCATCTTTTTATGAAGTGCAATCCCAATTTAATTTACATAATAAAGTGACCTGTAACTATTTAATGACCTGTGACCTCTCGTTTGGTTTGATGAACTTGTGTATGGAGGTCAAAATTATTGTAGGAGAGTCTTTATACATTTTCAATTTAATCAAGACAAACAAGCTTTTTTTTTTAATTATTCTTGATCTTCAAATATCTATTAACAAATTGACCCACCGTAATTTATCGCCAAATTTTTCTGCACTTTTTACATAAATTCTTCAATATTTTATAAAAATAAACCCTAATTTTGAATATTTTAATTCACAAATCAAATAATTAATGAACTTCCACAAAAAGAGACCACCTATCATAATGTCAGGTGTTAGAAACGCATCATAGTGTACAGTACTTGTCTGAGTCTGACTGGGTAAAGCTGACATCAACGCTCATTTCAGCAACGTTATTCACTTATTTCATGTTTATTTTACTTACAGACGGTAGATGCCAACAAAACTTTCTTCGTATTCCAAATAGCAACGCTGAAAAAAAGACAAGAAAGGTTGCAGGGCAAAATAGTAAGTATATAAAGACAAGATGTGTATGTGTTTCAACTGTAGAGGGCGCTGTGTATCCCTGATCCCATCCATCTGTTCTCCTGCACTAATAACTCTGGCATGCCTGGACTAAAGATGCTCACACTATAATATATCTTGCAGGGTTCCATGTGCTTAAATTGGAGATGCACTTCTGATAGAACAAATACAATATGTCATTTTCTAACCAATGCATCATATTTTTTTTCAGGGGCAATTTAAGAAAATGGTAGAGGTGGCTGAGAAACATAATAAAGCTCGGATTCAAACAGAAGTTGTAAAAGTAGTATTAAATGCACAACACCCTAAGATAGCAGAGGCAGCTATGAAGAAAATTCCAAAGGATAGTGAGGCTGGTGAACTAAGTAAGATAAATCTAGACTCAATTTATATATTCTCCTTATCTATACTCCAGTATAAGTTAATAAAATAGAGTAATGTTTTGTGTATAGCGTATTCACTCTATTTAAAGCGCATTGTTTAAAGGATTGTGCTGTAATGCATTTGTTTAAAGGATCAATAAAATATGCCTTTTATTTACCATAGGCATATTTCAAGTGTATGCGATATTTAATAATCCTCGGGCGCGGACATCCGGGCATTTTCACCGCTTGGCAACCCTGGCGGTGAAAACAAAGGCCTAAAACTCGCAGAAAACGGTACTTTAGGATGATTGTTGAGACTCCTCTGAACAGTGCAACAAGATTAGCCCTACGTGTGTAACATATATAAATTTGGTTGTTCAGGATTACTTCAAAGTTGAGTTTGTGTTGTTTTCTTGAATTTTCACCGGCTCGACTGGCGTTCCACAGCAGCGCGAAAAGAGCCCATAGAAATGCATGTACAGTGGTGCGCGTCTTAGCAACGTGGAACGTCTGTGACATAGCTCCGCCCCCGAGGATAGAACAAATTTTGTACATAATTTGTAAGTTTGTTATTTCTCTTCTCCACAAATCTGAGAAATAAAGTCTCGATTTGAATGATAATATTGTGGCAGCAACCGACTATAGGTAGTGTCAGAATAGGGATTATTTATTTTCAGAACTATTTGACGGCTGTGGTTAACATGCCACGCATGCACCCGATATGGGTGGCTCATGAACGACATTGTTGTTTATCAAAATGCAATGTGCACACATCTGCAGAAACAACTTTGCGCAGATGAAAGCTTACAAGAAAAGAGAAGGCACCAAAATTTATTTATCTTGAATCCAATTGCGTTGTTCTCCTCTAACCCATTAGCAACCTTGTACATCTGTCCTAGAACAAAAAACACAGGTGTACTTGCACAATATACACAGCTTGTCTATATGTGTATCATATTTTGTATTCGGGGAACAAAGATTACTGATGGTTTAGTATTATTAAACTTACAGAATAATATATGAACTGTCTGGATTATTTTTATTCTCAGATCAGTGTGGTCATGTATCACCATTGTCACTCTCATCTTCATTATCAAGTCTCTCTGAAATCATGTCTTTGCCATCTCTCAATACATCGTCTTACGATGTACTGATATTGCTAAAGCAGGCCACTACTAGCAAAGAGAAGACAGCGCATACCAGTAGTCAGATTCCTACTCCTAGTGATGCTAGTCCAAACTTAGCAAGTAGTCAACAACCTAGTAGAAAGTTAGTCAAGGACAGCCCAAAGCCCACGACTTGAGTTTTCCCAGATGTTTTCGTTCATATCATGTTGTTATTGGTCAATTTAAGAGGTTCATTGGGACAAGAGCATCATAACCTCTTCACAAATAAAAAAATGTTTTATGCAGTGTTTTAAGGAATCCAATATGATTTTCGAAAGTAAACTTAATAACGAGCACTCATAACACAATCAAAGATGGAATAGATTGTCTTTTGTACATGTTGACTATAAGAATGCTTGTCATACAGTACTGTGTAGTTTGTTGTGTCAGCTGTTGTTGATGCCTTCCCATTCATACCTCGGATCTGCATGACATTATAAAGTACTAAGACCAAAACAAGACATTATGAGGCAGTAAGATGACAAAACATGCAGATTTAGAACTTGTGTATTTCACGTCTTTACAGACTAACACCATATATGCAACAGACACGCTATTCCGCCATTGATCGTATCTTTGAGGTCATTCATAGGCAATCAATCTATTAGATTAGATCAATAAATTGCCTAGATTCATTTGTTCAATATAATTATTTACTTAGACATCAAATTTATGCTTCTTTTATGCAGTACCAACAAAATTGTCTAAAAACACACAAAAATTGGCTTGTTAAAGTGTTATTTCATAATAAAAATCACAATAATTCAGGGTAACCATAAGTACTCATCCAATAATAACGTATTATTTTTTCACAATATGTGAACATTTCTTAGTTATGACAAAACCTTTTTACTATAGGAACCAATGGTAAAATGGCTAAAAAATCAAAAAGTTGTTGGTGACCGCACTTTTTATCTGAATTTTGTGATTCTTAAAATAAAGCCATATGGTAAAAGTCTGTTAAGTTTTAACGATAGCCAACGATACCTTAACGTCAGCACCGATGATACATATTTCTAACGTTATTTTATTCTGTTTGTTTGTAGGTGATGCTCCACCAAAGTCAGCAGCATGTACTATAATGTAGATGAACTCCTTGTTACCTCATTACTGTCTCCATGGATGTGATCAGAACCCACATGCTACTATCAAATTACAGTTTTTATATTTCAACAACCATTTTATTTTCAACGAGTGAAATATTTATTGTGTAGATCACTTGTTTCTATTTAATTCTAAGACACTTGTTGGATTATAATTATGTGGCATTGGCTTAACAGGGACACTGATATCTTTAATTCACCATTATGTCTGTACCTCAACCAGTGTCCTTGCTGTTATCCGTCCATTTCCCTGTTGTTATGCCCGGTCCCATATTTGTCCTTGATTCGGCCTATCCAAACGTTTGTTATGCACAAATCTTTGAATCATAAATCTGAATATCCACTTTCTGCAATACACGCTTTATCTTCTAAATATGTTGTAGAATGTTTACAAACTGTGCAATATCAAACAGAAGGTTATTAAAATGCAAATAACATATTCTTGTTTTTTTCGGAAGTACAATAAGGTGTTAAATATAGATCACAGAATGTAGGTTTATGTTGGGTGATGGGCTTTATGCATGACCCCTAAAGATTGCACTTCCTGGTACTTTCAGGGGGTATTGATGTTCCATCACAGCAAGAATTTCCAATAATGTGCAGCTACTTTTACTACATTTGTATGTTTAACTGTTTTTGAATTCCAAAGATAACTACTTCCATTTTTGTGAGATAATAATAGTTAAATTTGAATTGATAGTGAATTTGTACCCCCAGAAAGTACCACGATGTGTGACCTTTTGGAGGTCATGCATATGGTCTATTATTATTGAGTAGTATACATGTAGACATGCAGGTATATCTTCTGATTTGATGGTACCACATTTTAGTGATTTTCCTGTTAATTCAGAAGGCATCACAAAATGCAACTGTTTTATTGAAATTCTACATACATGCAGGGTGGAATCGGATAAAGCGCATATCTTAGGCTGTTCTTATTGTATAAACTGGTACTTAATATATGATGAATTAAAGGAATGTAAATAGTTTTTATAATTACTGGATATATTATGTATTGTTTTTTTTTTTCATCACCAGTAATTTTAATGATATTTTTTTATACTGCATGTTTTCATTGATTTGTTTATACATACTGTGTATATGTACATTCTGTGCCCCCTAAATACAAGTTATGTTTTTCATAACATGACATTTTCATAATTCATTATAATAGATAATCAAATGATGTCCAATCCTCTATATATACTGTCAACAGCTTTTTTTTTTTTTGAGGGGAGTCTGGCAAAACTAGGACATTTTCTAGCAGCTAGTAAATACATTTCTTCAGAATCTTTAGAACAATGAGTCACGTGTGACTATAGCGAAAATTTTATTCTCGGAATGCTGTATCTTTATATCATAAAAATTATTAGATGTGAAACTTAAATGGTTTTCTGTATGTTCTAAAAACATCAGAGGCTAGGTGGTTTGTGTTATGTAGACACAGCAGTGATATAACCCATATATATAAAACACATTCCAGTGTTATTTTGACACCAGTATTTACATGTTTATTTTTATGTGTGTACTTGAGCCAAACTCAAAATAAATGTGTTTTTTTTAAATATTTTGAATTAAACTTCTTATAAGAACCAAGCCTTACGTATTAAGTAACTTGAGCTAACACTTTTAATGAAAGGCTCAGTGCCTCAAGTGTCTTGCTTGTTGTTATTTTGTACTTAATATCTAATTTTTAATAAATGTTGGTGACTATTACATTATGTAAGTATGTAAGTATTTTATCTCATGTCCTGACTCTGTGCCTCCCAGGAACCATGCAATCACTAAATAATGTATTACTGAACTCAATAAATTCCCCAACATCAGATGTGGTTCATTTCAGTATGGACTTTATTCTGATCATTAAATTGTATCAATGCTATATACTCTAACATAGCCTTGCAAGCCTCTGTGTGCTTTCCCTGTGTCAACCAGGCCAAGTCAAATACATACACCTGTGGACGTTTTTAACCCAAGTCTAAGCCACATCTGTAACAGTGAAGGAGTCTGTCAGTAGGTTTGGTCACCTCACTGTGGGGGTGAGGTGGGGTTGATTCTCAATCCAAGATAGTATTTGATCTTTGATTTACACAATGGTTATCAGTTATGCTACCCTCTTTGCATATGTATTGTTAAAACTTCGTGATTACTTTCTTTGGTACTCCAAGAGATAGTTGCTGGTGATGAATAGCTATTTTAAATTTTCCTGGCAACTTTTTTGCCTGTTGAAATATACTTTTCATACTTCAATACAGTCCCTTAGAAACTGCTTTCAAGCTTAATTCCAGCCATCTAAGATGTTCATGGACATTTTTCTAACAAATTTCCTGGCTTTGCAAATTACTTTGTTGGCTTTCTAGTCAACTCTTTATTCATGGTTAACTTTTCAAAGTTCATGTTGTGTGACATAGTGATGATGTATTTCAGATAAATTAATTGAGTATTCTAGGATAGAATATACTGTAAAATACTTTATTTTAGCTGGAATTAATTTTCCCTGAATAGACTGAGTGCTTTGTATGGATTTTATTTTTACTGATTTTTGACGAGTTGAATGTAAAATATAGTAAAAACTGTATATTCGCTGGATTTTATTTTCACTGAATTATTCTTTCAGCGAAAATAGCGAAAATTATTTCCAAACGAATATAAAGTATTCTACATTATTACATGCCATTTCCTGTTACAACAACAGTATTCTCGCTGCGGCCTGGAAAAGCGGGTTACCGCCCTCACACGGTATAAAAAAACTACCGTGTATATTGCAGCAACGACATGACGGTACGGGAACCACATCTAAAAAGACGGGAAATACGGAAGTGATAACATCTATCTGAATGAGATTGGCACTGAAATTGTGGCATCTGATTTCATCAATGAAATAAACAATAAACAAAACTATGTTACCAACAGACAACCATCATAGAAGCAGTATAAAAAAACACCCCTAACAAACCTTAAATAAATTTGTAATGAATGTTCATGTTCATCAAAAAGGTGTTTTGTTGGTTACCATTCAAGTATAATGGGCTGGAGGGTAAATTCATCAAAAATACATTTCAATAGGTATCCCCGTCGCTAAGTTGTAAAGAAAGAGCCAATGACATATTTCCAGGGTTAATGATATTGTCATTGATATATCGTTTTCACAAAGTTAAAGTATTATATATATATATATATATATATCAGTTCTTTTTATTTAGATCATGGCAATTTTTTGGTCAGAGCGCCCTCTAGTTTTGTGGAGAATCATGTTCATTTGGAATGCTCTGATTGGATGGAAGTTCAAGCCTAGCAAGGTGTGATAGAATTGGCCTGTTATGTTCAGATTCAAATAAGCATGAACCACTAATTTGACAGGGAAGTGATACTTATAATGCAGCAAGCTGTTCTAATTGCTGTTGTGGTAGAGTTTTTCTATTTTCCTGTCAAATGCATTTATTGGTCCACTGAAAAATGAAAATAATGTTCCCTGTAACTTAGACTCTTATTGATCAAGGCATTTTAAAAATCATGGGTGTTAACTCCCCTCAAGTTATGACCCGTTGTCCCCTACAGAATAATGGTTGCATCTAATATTAAAATAAAGATGGCGGAGTATAGCGTTGATTCATCTCGTTCTACTCTGGATTACTTGGAGTCAATAAAGATCCTAGAAAGTTAGTATTTATATGCCTGTGTGTTTTTTGTTTGTTTGTTTTTTCACTGTCTTTGACTTTCCCAGTATGTTTGTTGCTGTTGACAACAATTCAGTCCTCTGCCAGGCTTCAGTCAATGTTTTTCTTCACTACCTACCCAACTCCTCGTCGGGCACTATGTAGCTG